GCTCGGTGCCCGTGTTCCCGTGTCCCGTGTCCCATGTTCCCGTGTCCTGTGTCCTGTGTCCCGTGTCCCATGTTCCCGTGTCCCATGTTCCCATGTTCCCATGTCCCGCAGTCTGGACCAACGTGGAGCCGCGCTCGGTGCCCGTGTTCCCGTGGCACTCGCTGGTGCCGTTCCTGGCGCCCAGCCAGCCCGACGCCGCCCCGCAGCCCCCGGCCGGGGCCGGCCTGCAGCCCGTCAGCCACCTGCCCCCCGCCGCCAGCAAAGGTGAGCGCGCCGGCACACCTGGGACACCTGGGACAGCTGGGCACACCTGGGATAGACCTGGGATAGACCCTGATACACCTGGGCACAGCTGGGCACACCTGGGACAGCTGGGATATACCTGGGATAGACCTGGGGACACCTGGGATATACCTGGGGACAGCTGGGATAGACCCTGATACACCTGGGACACCTGGGACACCTGGGACAGCTGGGATAGACCTGGGCACACCTGGGGACACCTGGGGACACCTGGGATAGACCTGGGATAGACCCTGACACACCTGAGGACAGCTGGGGACAGCTGGGATATACCTGGGACATGTCCTGACACACCTGGGGACACCTGGGATAGACCCTGACACACCTGGGGACACCTGGGGACACCTGGGATAGACCCTGATACACCTGGGACACCTGGGATATACCTGGGATAGACCCTGACACACCTGGGGACACCTGGGATATACCTGGGATAGACCCTGATACACCTGGGACACCTGGGATATACCTGGGATAGACCCTGACACACCTGGGGACACCTGGGATATACCTGGGACATGTCCTGATATACCTGGGGACAGCTGGGATATACCTGGGATAGACCCTGACACAGCTGGGACACCTGGGATATACCTGGGGACACCTGGGATATACCTGGGATATACCTGGGATAGACCCTGACACACCTGGGGACAGCTGGGGACACCTGGGACACCTGGGATATACCTGGGATAGACCCTGATACACCTGGGGACAGCTGGGGACACCTGGGATATAACCTAGGATAGACCCTGACACACCTGGGGACAGCTGGGGACACCTGGGACACCTGGGATATACCTGGGATAGACCCTGATACACCTGGGGACACCTGGGGACACCTGGGCACACCTGGGATAGACCCTGACACACCTGGGGACACCTGGGGACACCTGGGATAGACCCTGACACAACTGGGGACATCTGGGGACACCTGGGATATACCTGGGACATGTCCTGACACACCTGGGGACACCTGGGGACACCTGGGACACACCTGGGATACGGATACACCTGGGCCCCGCCCCCTGCCACACCCGGGACACACCTGGGATATGGATACACCTGGGCCACGCCCCCTGCCACACCTGGGACACACCTGGCCCCGCCCCAGACACACCTGGGACACACCCGGGACACACCTGGGATACAGAAACACCTGGGACACACCTGGCCCCACCTGGGACACACCTGGCCCCACCTGGCTCCACCTGGGCCCCACCTGGCCCCGCCCGGCCCCGCCCCAGACTCACCTGGGACACACCTGGGCCCCACCTGGCCCCGCCCCAGACAGACCTGGGACACACCTGGCCCCACCTGGGACACACCTGGCCCCACCCCAGGCACACCTGGCCCCACCTGGCCCCGCCCCAGACCCACCTGGCCCCGCCTGGCCCCGCCCCAGACACACCTGGGACACACCTGGCCCCACCTGGGACACACCTGGCCCCGCCTGGCCCCACCTGGGACACACCTGGGACACACCTGGCCCCACCCCGGCCCCACCTGTGCCACACCTGTGCCCCACCTGTGCCCCACCTGTGCCACACCTGTGCCCCAGCTGGCCCCACCTGTGCCACACCTGTGCCACACCTGTGCCCCACCTGTGCCCCACCTGTGCCACACCTGGCCCCACCTGGCCCC